TCGCTGTCATGTAAGTCCGGAAGAACAGACCAAATGAAGTCTAATGCGGCGGGGAGAAGAGCCAGACTGAGAGATCGATTGCAAGAGAGAGTGTGAGTCGGGGGATCAAAATGGGTGTGAGTACCTGTATTTAAAACATGGAGGGGGTGGGTGGCAAGAAAAGCCTCTAAATGAATGCCACGGGAATCACAGTGAGACCCCCCCCCCCCCGAGGAAATGGTGGGCATTAAAATTTACCAAGTAACAGAATCGGGGGTGGGGAATTTACGAAACAAGAAAGGCAATATCCGGAATAGATAATGCCCGGGGAAGAGGAGAGAGATATAAAGAACAGAGCGTTACCACCTATGTAAGTGGATACGGCTGCTGTGTAATGCAGCGAAGTATAAACAAAAAGCTGATGGTATGGAAATCAGTGCGTAGAAGAAGGGGCACTTTCTTTAAAAAGGTTTCCCTTCGGGAAAAGGTTCTGAAGAAATCAATAAATTTACCCCGGGAGATGGGGGGGAGAAAAACAGCAGGTGTTTTTTTGGGTTTCCCGTAAGAAAACACCAACAGGGGGGAAAAATGGGAGAGTAACATCTGAAGCTCCCCCGTTTACCCTGGGCTGCGTATTTTTCCACTGTAAATAGGCCATGTTTGGGGAAATTTAAAAAAAGATCTGAAATCCGAAAGGTTTAAGGGGTTTCCCTATGGACTAGAGGGATTAAAAAAGCCCAAACATGCGGGAGGCGTGGAAAACTTTCAAGCAGTAAAGGGAAAACAGTGCCCCTGGGAAAAAAAGGGGTTGTGCAAAAGGAAAAGTAGGGAGGGGGAGAAGGAGCGGAGGGGGGAAATCATTTCCATTGAGGTTTGGGTCCCCTTTAATATATTCAGGGTTGCTTTCAAGTTGAGAGAAAGGGAACATGTGAAAACATTGGGTTTTTTTATTGTGGGAACGTTTCGCCATGGAGGCGAAACGTTTAAAAAAAGATCCCCAGTTTTGTTGCACTTTGGTGTCTTACTCTCATCGGGCCCGGTATTATTCCCAATTCGTACAATTGTTAAAATTTGTTTCAAAATTCAGAGACGCCCGGAGGGAGAAATTTTTTGGGAATGGAAAGGGGGAGGATGAGAAAAGTTTGGGAAAACTGTAATGGACTGTCCCAAAAGGTGGGGGGGGGGGCCCAAAAAGGGTGGGGGGAAAAATTTGGAAAAGCGGGGAAGGGGAAACAAAAAGAGGCAGGAAACCGGGGAAGGTGGCAAAAAGAGGAAGAAAATTTGGGGGGAAACAGGGGAGGAAGGTCCCTTTACGAGGGGAGGGTGAACCTCTACACTTGTATCAGACCCAGTGAGAGGGGGAAAAACCCAAAAGGTCCCGAGACAGGGAAGGGAAAATGAGGAGGGGGAAAGGGGGTTTGGAGGTTTTAAACCGGCCCTTTTTTTTGCCCTTTTGAAAAGAGGGGGACGATTGGGGGGGAGGTGTCTTCGAGATCCGCCCGTATGGGCTTGTGACAGAGAACACGAAGAAGCAAGATCAGACTGGGGTTTTTGGAAGTGGGGCCCCGTCGGGCCCGGGGGAAGCAAAAGAAAATACAGGGGGGACAAAGGGGAGGTAACCCAGAGGGGGGTGCAGAAGATGGGGTTACCGGGAATGGGGGGACTTTTTGAAAAAAAGGGAAAAAAAAAACCCACGGGTAGTCCCCCCTTTGGGAAAGGGGGAAAGATGAGAAATGCCAGGCTTAAGGGGACCTTTTGCCTCTTTGAGGTAACGGTTTTCCCGCTCTTTTTTAAGTGACTAGACAAGGGCGAGAGTACGAAGGGTTTGACCCTCATGAAAATTTTTTAAGGCAAGGGGAGGTCGTTTTGAAAGGGAACGTTTTTGAATGGCCCATCGGCACCACGGGCTGGGCATTCGGCGTTTAGATCTGCAATATTTCGCGGGAGGCCCAAAATTTCGCCCCCAATTTCTACCTTTTTCCCGGTGTGGGGATCCCTTTTTGAAACTTGAAACCGATGCCCCCTACTAATTAAATGAGGATGGGAGTTCACGGCTGCCCAAAATTTTTAAACGACCCCACTTTGCTGGGTTTCTCTCCGCCCGGGGGCAGGAAAACGTAAGTGTCTACCTTTAGGATTGGGAGATCTTGGGTTCCAGTTGTTCAAAAATGTCAGTGCCCCCATGTCTGGAAAAATTTTTTTTGAACTATGGTAGGGGGGGCAAGGAAATTTCGGTTCCATAAAAAGAAATTTAGGGAATGTTTCCCTTTTTAATAGTTACAGGAACAGTATTTGAATGGGGAAAGGGCGAGAAAGTCATGAGCCCGGGTAGCATTCTGTTTGGTGATGATGCGCGTACCGCTCTAAGAGCATGAAAAGAAATATCTTTACCAACATGCCGTAGGAGTGCCTTGCCAATACTGTGGTCAGAAAGATAGGCAGTAGAGGAAGTCGGTCGTAAAGTGAAGAATATAGTCCATTGTGCAGTCTGAAACTGAGCGTGGAAAGGTAGTGAAGGACGTGTCGATCTTTTCTGAGAAGAACGAGAAGGTGGAGAAGTGTCATCAGCAGGTAATTGTCGTTGTCGTTTAGGCGTGGGACCAGAGTTGGTCCGACGTGGAATGGGCCGGCGATTCGAAAATTGCCGCACCGTAGAGGGAGAGGCCGGAAGCATAGTCAGAGGAGAGCGAAGGTCAGATAAATCGAAGGAGTCAGTCGAGGCCTCAGTACCTGAAGCGGGTGAGGAAACAGCACCGGCAAGAGGTACAGAGTCATGAGGAGTGTCCGAAGAGTGGTCCAAAGATGAGGCAGGGTCAGAACGGGGTGCGGTATCAAGAAGGGGCCCGGGGGTAGCAGGATCATGGACTAGGGCTGCCATGGTTAGGTTACTTCTTTCTTTTTGTTTTTAAGAAAAAAAAAGAAAGAAGAAAAGAAAATAAAAATAAAAAAAAGAATAAAAAAGGGGGGACTGGGGAGGGATAGTTCCTAGGAGGAATGAAAGGGCCAGAAATCTCCTTCCGCGCCCAAGAGGACCTCAGCACCGCAAGTAGCGCAGATGCGGCATGGAACCCATGCCATACCCTACCCATCATGCCGGTAAACCGGCAATCCGGGATAGCAACCTCACATCTGCCGAGCTACCTCGGTGGACAAAAGAGAGGGCGGCCGGAAATCCGCCACAAAGCATACCTCCTTCGGCCACCACCCCCGGAATCCGAAAGGTGGCTTCCAGAGATACACCCGTCGCCCGAGAGACACCCAAAGCCACCCTCCAGGATACCTGAGAGGGATCAGGACATCCCCAGGCAATCCAGATTCCACGGCAAACTACGCCACCGCCAAGAACCTCAACGGAATGGGATGGACCCCGGTACCCTTTCTCCTACCTAGAAACTAGCGTGCCTGTGAAAAAAAAAAAAAAAAAAAAATGGCCAAAAAGGAAGGGCAAAAGGGAGGGGTGGGGAGGAGGAGGAGGAAAGGAAAAAGGGAAGGATGGGATAGGGAACGGGGGATTGGGGGGTAATTAGATTCGGTCTGAGGAAGTAGACTGACAGGTCTAATTCCTCAGACCAAGAGCCTCTTCACCACGCCAAGGAGCCCCCCTTGAAGAGGAATCCGGGGATTGAAGGCGTTTTGATATTTAAAGAGGAGAGGTTTTCCTACTTTTCGGCACATCCTGTACCAATATTTTCCTTTATTTTGTCACGAATTTTCATCTATTGCTCCAGAACGCCTTATTCTATTGGCTTCAAGATTTGAATGCGTGTTTAATGAATTTTGGATAAGATTCATGGGACTATTTCCGTGCATGGTGCCCTGTGCATGGTGCCCTGTGCATGGTGCCCAGTGCATGGTGCCCTCTGCATGGTGCCCTCTGCATGGTACCCTGTGCATAGCGCCCTCTGCATGGTGCCCTGTTCATGGTGCCCTGTGCATGGTGCCCTGTGCATGGTGCCCTGTTCATGGTGCCCTGTGCATGGTGCCCTGTGCATGGTGCCCTGTGCATGGTGCCCTGTGCATGGTGCCCAGTGCATGGTGCCCTCTGCATGGTGCCCTCTACATGGTGCCCTGTTCATGGTGCCCTGTTCATGGTGCCCTCTGCATGGTGCCCTCTGCATGGTGCCCTCTGCATGGTGCCCTCTGCATGGTGCCCTCTGCATGGTGCCCTCTGCATGGTGCCCTCTGCATGGTGCCCTCTGCATGGTGCCCTCTGCATAGTGCTACATAAGCCATTTTCATTTTTTTTATTCCATGTGATTACTCGAGAAAATCTTTTGTGATCAGACATTTTGCCACATTTAACTTCGAAATTGTATGGTAATATTTTACCTTACTGCTTTATTTTTCCCTTGATGCTAATGAGGAACTACTCGTCGCTTGGTTGATAGTGTCCTCAGTTCACACACTGAGAGTCCGGGATCAATATCCAGCACGGGTGAAACGTTGGGTATGTTTCCTTACTCCTGCTGCTTCAGTTCACCAAGCAGTAAGTAGGTACCTGAGTGTAAGTCGCCTGTTGTGGGTCGCATCCTGAGGTAAAAGATTAACCTAAGTTGCCAGAAATGCCTTGCATGACCTGGGACTTTCTTTATAGTATACCAGCGATGTCAGTTGGATCTGTTATAGTTGTAACTTGTACTTGTAGAAATAACGATTATTATCTTGCCCTTGTCTATATAAAATTTGAAAACCTCTCATTTGACAAGTGATATATGAATTATAAGGGTGTAGCGCTGTCTTCTGATTAAAACGTAACAATTCTGAATGGCATTAACCTTCGATAGTTAATGCATCGTACGATATAGATGGAACGTTTAATGGGTTAATGCAGCTTAGGCATCTTCTCAGTTTTAAACGTTAAGTGTTGAAGTGTTTTCTTCAGTACGCATTACTGAATGGGTCATTTTATGACCAGATCCATGACTTTTTTTATCTAGTGAATTAACTAGTACCCGTAGTGTGAGTGAACTTGTGTATATGTTGTACTTTGATTCACTCTACAACTATGATTTCATTTACAGGAGATTGTACAATGTTGTGGGTGAGGAGCGAGTGGCTGGCTTGGGATACAGGAATAATCACCTACTTGGTCATCACTGTCTTGGTTACCATCACAATGGTGTGGTACTTCAAGAGACAAAAGACAGTGAGTACAGGAGGTTGTAGGTGTTGTTACATAGCTTAATATGGTGTCGAGCTGGTAGGTGACAGGAATCACCTGTCTTGAAACAAATCACCAACTATTTTTGATGTTTCAGAACACCTGAAGATCATCTTATTTCGAGAAAAACGGTTATGCAAATTCTTTGTATGTCAATAATTATGTGCCTAAATATACCCTTGAAAATTTTAAGAAATATGAATCACGACTGTTTATAGTCAATATATCACTGTTGGTGACATATTCATCAGTATATTCATCACATTCAAGTTTCTCCTAACTTATTCAGCAATTTTTTCTATTTACTTTATTTAGGTTAGATTAGGTTTGGCTAGATTACCATCATTTAATAATGGTTAGTGTCCCAAGATGAAGAGCACTTGTAATCCCACTTATCGGCTGTCAAATGCCCGATTAGACAGGTAGCCATAGACAGTATGTCAACATGATGTGCGCCATAAAGGAGTAATTATAATAAATACATTGGCGCACACCTTTGTTTTGCTACCTCTCATGCTACTGATGTTTTAAAATGGTTACCATTATAGAGCAGAATCTCCATGATAAAATAAAAACAAAATGGACGAACATATCTCTTTCATAACTAAAGTAACTTCGTGTATATACTGGGAAAATAACAGACTTTCAATACAAGGAGCCGTTATTAAGGAAAGACAAAAAACAATAGAGCTATTATAGGATTAAGACACCAGGCGACAATAACAAGGTTCACCTTCCAAGCTGAAAAAGTCTTCATGGAGGCTGGAGGAAAAAGAACTATCGAACCTGTAGATTCGTGTATGAGTGAAAACAGTGCTCAGTTAATAAGCTGTGTTTGTCTTAATATGAATGTTATAACCTGTTTTCTTCAGGTGAATTCAGAGATGTCAATTGCACTTCTTTTACAGCAGAATTCCCTCATTGGCAATAATAGGATTGGAGATCTAGTTCTTGTTTTTTTTAATGTCATTGTCACTATGTTCAGAAAAGTCGTAATGAATGACTCTCAATCAAACTCACTAAAGACTGGAAGGGAATCAGTGAGGCATTCTTGTCTTACGAATTTATTAGCATTTTTCACCATGACATTTGAAAAAGCAGATCATGATAAAGAATGTGATACTGAGTATATAGATTTCAGTATTGCCTATGATAAGAGTTTCACACAAATAGCTAATGAAGAAAGCAGTCGTATACGGTATAGGAGAAATTGTCTCCGGGGCCGAGGCATGGTCCACAAGAGTCGTCATAAATTTGAAGAATTTGGAATGGGGGAATCGTTACTAGTGGAATGCCACTGGGGTGAATATTTGCCCAAATTTTGGTCAAAATCTGTAAAAATCGACATAGCTGAGGTAAAAAGTAGCAAAAACTTTGAGTAGTATTAAATAAGTTGGACACCTACATTTGTGGTTGTTGTTGGGTGTAAGTTGCACCTGTCTAGCATAGGCTAGTAGGCCTATTGTCATGTCCAGTATTCTTAGGGTCATCCACTTATCCAAGTTGTTGCCTGTGCCATCAAAAAGCCATAAGTTCCAAGAATATCTAAAAGTCATATATATAAATGCAATATCCACTCATGATAAAATATACATAAAAACCTAAGAAGCTAAAATCAAAGTACTCAACTAACCGTTCAATATTACACAATGAAAGTTTGTCTCTAATAATGTACAAAAACTCCACAGTGGCCAGAACTACAGGTTTTGACTGACTGGCAAACACATGGTGAAACCATATCACGGGCGGGGATAGAACCCGCGATCTGAGAGCCTCGAAACTCCAGACCGTCGCCTTAGCCACTGGCTAACGCGACGGTCTGGAGTTTTGAGACTCTCTGATCGCGGGTTCTATCCCCGCCCGTAGTATGGTTTGTTTGCAATCGTGTCATTACGATTTCGTGATTCATGGTGAAGTTCTGGGCATCAGTGTTGGCATGTGTTGTTGAACGGTAGTTTTCCCAATAGCCTATTTGTCCTACTGGAACTTCGCAAGCTCTCAAAAATGCGGACACGTATTGTAGCTATGATAATTAAATGTGTAGACAGCAGAGTATTGTGGCCCGGTGGCCTGGTGGCTAAAGCTCCCGCTTCACACACGGAGGGCCCGGGTTCGATTCCCGGCGGGTGGAAACATTTCGACACGTTTCCTTACACCTGTTGTCCTGTTCACCTAGCAGCAAATAGGTACCTGGGTGTTAGTCGACTGGTGTGGGTCGCATCCTGGGGGACAAGATTAGGACCCCAATGGAAATAAGTTAGACAGTCCTCGATGACGCACTGACTTTCTTGGGTTATCCTGGGTGGCTAACCCTCCGGGGTTAAAAATCCGAGCGAAATCTAATCTAATCTAATCTAAAAAGTACAACATCTTTTTAAAGAAAATAAATTTTAATGTACAAAGGTTACTGGGAAAGAGTCAACTGCTCTCTAAGCAGGAATATTTTGTGTTGATAATGCCATAACATTAGAGTTTACCTTTGAATTATTTGTTAAAACCATTCATATAACTTATATTTTGGAGCAGAATCTGAAATAGTGTCAACATATGGAAAGCAATAGTAGCGTGATAATTATGATAATTTCCCTGCAATATGTGTGATACTGTCCCTCTCGAAGAAGAGACATTATAAGCTCCCTATTGTTTTTAAAGTCCCACATGTTTCAAAAATAAAAATAAGTGAATTATCATTTTAGATGTGTTTAGAATTCTCCAGAGTTATGTGGGTGAAGTGTTAACTCAAAATTGTACTTGTAAAAATTTATCCTCATAATTTCTCACAAAAGTCGTTGGTCCTTCTGAACCGGAGGTGATCAGTAAAGATCAAGTAAATTAAATATATAAATGTGACTTGACTGGAAAGATGTTATTTATTTGTGTCTGCAAAAATTAATAACAACATAATAATGTACATTGTGTGACTGAAAAGAGAATGGTCCACAATAAAATCATTATTTAATGTTAATTGTTTAAATAATTGTGTAATTATTATGTAATTAATAATATTAATAATATAATTGTGGAATTGCATTGCCCAAATATAGGTACGATCATTATTGCCTTAAAGTTGCTTAGCCCAGATGGGAATAGAACTGTAATTGCCATATATATTAATTTGCTATGCCAGAAAATTTGGCTAGGATTTTTCAAGGAATTTGTAATAATGACTTTTATAAAGTGCATCACTGTATAATTTGTGTGTAAAATAGTATTAATTTATGTTCAAGTTCAAATCCAAATAAGAACCACAGAGAACTAACAACATTAATGTAAATGGTAAACCCTTGGATATTAAAACAATAGAAGTGTCTTTGAAAGCAAGGAAAGGTCGTATAACCAGGACATGTAATAAGTGCTTGGAACTAATATCTGACGAAATAATGAACATTGTTGATTTAAATCTATATTTAGATTCATTAGAAAATAGATGACTCATGCAAATTAGTGTATGAAAAACGTGAAGTCATTCTGCTGAGAAATTGTGTAGATGAACAAGAAATGGAATTATTTATCAACCAATATTATGATCTAGAGGAGAAAATATTTTATTAAATTATTTTATTAAATTAATGAGCATAAACAATGCAGTTGGCCATCCTAGTAATGTGAATGAGATGTCTCTTCCCCAAACTTCCAGAACTGTCTCTACCCACATTTAATTCAGGAGACAGCTTGGGAAAAAAAAAAAAAAAAAAAAAAAAAAAAAAAAAAAAAAAAAAAAAAAAAAAAAAAACAATGGTTATAAATGACCATAATTTTTAAAGGGGTGGACCGGTAAGCCAGCGGAAGGCCTCGGTCAGATGACCAAAAGCTCTAAAGGCGGGTCATCATCTGACTAAGACCCGCGTCAGGAAACATTTGTCCTGTTTCCTGACGAACCTTACCTAACCTAACCTAAGCTTGGAAAAATCCTGGTTTGTATTCAAGGAGGCTGAACATAACAGGAATTATTTTCTATACGTCACCAAATTAATTTACCTTAAAAGGACACGTAAAAAGTGATGCCCAAATAATAATAAAAGGTTTTCCAAAAGTTGACAATAGTTGCACAGAAGCAGTGGATCTGCTGGCGGTCACCCACGGTTATTTAGAACAGAGTAGGTTGAACCTATAACTCCAGAGCACAATTACAAATATTTGCAGCAATTTAGAGTCAGATTTGAAAGCACACTTAAAACCTTAAGTAACAAATGATCTGGACGGATCAGACTGAATATTGAGTAGTATTTTGCAAAATAAATTGACTACTAAGACTATAGAGTGTTATCTAATAAGTACCATGAAAAATACTTCTCTTTGGAGGAAATAAGAGTAGGTATTCAAGCGTTAATTGTCCAATTACAAAACAATCAGGCAAATAATTTAAATGATGTAACAAGGAATGATTTTGATGTATCTCATTACAATGTCAAGCTCCATAAACAGAAGAAATAAATTATGTTAATTGCAATTATTCATCACATAATAAAAATAATATTGAAACACGTCAAGCTAAGAAATCAATATATTCACTTAAAGAGGGAAATAAAAAAGGGAATAAGAAAAGCTAAAAGAATTTATGAGGCTAAAGTGACAAGGGATTCGAAGACTATCCTAAAAGGTTTCTTTCAGGTATATAGAAGTAAGATTTTTTTTTTTTTTTTTTTTTTTTTTTTTTTTTTTATGAACTACGTTTGAATCACAAACAAAAATCATAATGTTGCTACATATTTATAGGATACAATTGGATAACTCAGGGTAATGTACACGTGTTATATCCCTTTAATACTTTGGTGACTCACAGACTAATTGAACAGTAACAGGGAAGGGATAAAACATGCATATATACACATACATATATATACTATAATTATATATATATATATATATATATATATATATATATATATATATATAATATATATATATATATATATATATACATATATATACATATATACATATATATGCACATACACACACATACATATGCACGCTCATATGCC